TTGCTGCAAGACCAATTATCTTCAATGCCTTTCTTAATTGAGTTCAAGTTGATTTAATTTCTATAACTAGTATTCCTAATAGTAACTATTGTTATATATGTTATATGCAGAATTACTTTACAAGATATTCTTGAATATGGGCTCTAACTAGCAAATGGCCAATTGAAATGGTTGTCTTTCTTTTTGATATATTTGTTTGCTTTGGTGCCCTAATCATTCTTTAGTCTGATAATAGTCGAGAATTCATAACAGAAATAATTCATGACTTATTGACTATATGGCCAGATGTTTATATAATCAATAGGTATCCAAAATACCCACAAAACCAGAGATTAGTAGAATAGACTAATGATATTCTTTAACAAAAGGTATCAAAATGAATAGAAGATACACAAAGAAAAATTGGTCTCACACTATACTGTTGTGTTGTTATAAGCTTTTTTTTTTTTTAATTCAATTTAATTTATTTTTAATAGATGTAATAAATATACAACTATTCTGATATACTAAAAGTAATCGATATACATTGGTATTTGGACAAAACTTCTTGCAGTATTTTTATTTACTAAAGAAAATCAAGGAATACTATATTAATTCCGAAGACAAACTACTTGAAAACTGGTTTAAACAACCTGGACTCCATACCTAGAAGCAAAAATTATTAGATAATATTAATAAAAAGTTAAAAGTAAGAAAATAGATAATAGAAGTGAGAATGAAATGGTGAATGAAATAGATAAGATAGTAAATAAAATGGTGGATGAAATGACAAATAAAAGAGAAATAAACAGGTGATGAAATGGTGAATAAAAGAGTAAATAAATGGGTAGATGAAATGGTGAATGAAAGTATGGATATTTATGAAAGTACAAATAAAAGGATAAATGAAAGTGCAAATAAAAGGGCATATAAAAATGCAAATAGAAGGACAAATGAAAGGGCAAATAAAAGACAAATAAAAAAGCAAATGAAAGGGCAAACGAAAGGGCAAATGAAAGGACAACAAAAGGACAAACAAAAGGCAAATAAAAGAGCCAAATAAAAAGGCAAACAAAAGAGCAAATGAAAGGGCAAATGAAAGGGTAAATACAATCAAAAAGTGAATAAAAAAGCAAATAAAAGGGTGAATGAAAAAGCAAATGAAAGGATAAATGTAAAGGAAAATGAAAAAGTAAATAAAAGAATAAATGAAAGAATAAATAATAAGGTAGACAAAATGGTGAATGAAAGAATAAATGAAAAGATGTATAAAAGAGTAGATAGAATAGCAAACAAAGGGGTGAATAAAAAGAGAAATTAAAGAGTGAATGAAATGGCAAATAAAAGAGTAAGCAAAAGAATAAATGAAAGGGTAAACAACAAGGTAGATAAAAGGGTGGACAAAAGGGTAGACAAAAAGATAAATAAAAGGATAAATAAAAGAATGGATAAAGAGATACGCAAAAGAATAAATAAATGAGTAAACAAAAGAGTTGAAATAATGAATGAAGAGATAGATGAAATGATGAATAAAGAGATGGATGAAATGGTAAATGAAGGGATAGATGAAATGATAAATGAAGGGGTAGA